AACAGTGTTCCCTCGCATAAATACATAGAGTGCAAACATGACCATACACATCCCTGCAACAGGGAGCCAGCTCGCCTCCATTTTAAAGCCAGCTTGTGATGAGGTGAACTTAAGTCAAGAGGACTACCATAAATCTTTCCATGTTTTTTTCCCTCAAAGGCAACAGAGTCAATGAGCAAAATTATATATTTCAGTTTCATGTGAGGGGAGGAAAGAAAAACAGAATCCATAAGCGTGGAGTTCGTGTCCACTGTACACATGTAAATTGGTACTACATTCTTCATCTATGAGAAAAGCAGAAAGCAGGCAGACATCATATCTGGGCCATATTTCTGCAAATAAGTCAGTAAATATATACAAAATTATTTCAAGTTTTTTCATTAAAAAGCATCTGTGTGTATTATACAACAAAAAGGATATATGGCTTGACTTTTCTAAACCCACAGAACTTATGGCACATTTGGTTGTTATTTGCATGTATATTCTGGATAAAGTCAATGAGTCTATTATAATAACCTAGTTATAATATAGCATCATTACAGTAAGAGTTTTAGGCCAAGGTTAAATACACAGAGATTCATAGTTTTTAAGTTAAGGAGCTTTGGAATTTTTGTCATTGATCATTTTAGGTCACCAAGTTATAATTTAATACTGTCGTATCAGTGCATTAAATAGAAAATGCAGTCACTAAATGCAACATTAAAGTAATTCTGTTAATATCATACTTCAGTGCAGTGAACAGAACCAGCATCCTAAATATATAAATGAAACCTCAAAAAAACTTAACTGTTTCCCAAAAGGTAGCTTGTGCCAAGGAAGACATGAATTCATGAATTATACTCAAAATTTTATCATTAATTTTAATGTTTTAAACTCGGTAGTAAAGTACAGGGAAAATTTTTAGACACGTGAAGTTTAATTCGTTCAATTTATTGTACAAGCCTAAATGAAGGAGAATTAGTACTTAATTGTGTTAAGTGAAGGAAGAGAGCAATGATCACAATACCAACATGGGCCTGTGAAGTGACGTCCTCCACAACTAGACTGAAGAACAAAAGGACAGCATCCCTGTCCTGCAGGAACTCACAAGCTAGTGAGGTAAAGAGACTCGGAGACAAACGTCACTTCACTATAGTGTTGTGATGAGAGCTCTAGCAGTCACAAAAGTGAGATGCGGAGAGGGCACAAGGAAGGGAGCCCTCACGTCTTCAAAGTGTCAGTAAGTCTTCTCAGAGGACAAAAAAATAAACAATCCAGTCAAAAAAAATGGGCAGAGGACATGGAGACATCGCTCCAAAAAAAACCTACAGATGGTCAACAGACATACAGAAAGATACTGAACCTCACTAGCTATTATAGAATGCAAATCAAAGCCGTAATGAGTGCCGGCTGAGTGGTGCATTGGTTAAGAGTTGGCGTGGGACACCAGTTCTGAGCAGAAGGGCCCCAGTTCGGATTCCACATGAGGGCCAGTGACGCTGCGCCCTCTACAGCTAAGATGGTGAACAACAGCTCGACCTGGAGCTAGGAAGCTGTGAGTTACGGTGACGGCGTAGGCTGCAGTGGGGCTGCCATGAGCTACCATGAGCGGCCATCCAATGACCAGAGACCGACTGCCTCAGCCAGGAAGAGCGCAATGATCACAACACCAACATGGGCCTGTGAAGCGACGTCTTCCACAACTAGACTGAAGAACAAAAGGACAGCTTGTCTGTGCCCCTTCCCCGATTCCCCAACGCTGTTCCCCTCCCCCAATTCCCCAATAAAATCTTTAAAAACCCACAATGAGATACCACCTCACACCTATCAGATGGCTATTTATCAACGAGTAATAACAAGTGCTGGTGAGGTTGTGGGGAAAAGGGAACCCTCGGGCACTGTGGGTGGGAGTATAATTGGTGTAGCCACTGTGAAAAACAGTATGGAGTTTCCTCAAGAAACTAAAAATAGAACTTCCAAATGACCCAGCAATTCCATTTCTGGGTATTTACCCAAAGGAATTCAAAGAATTAATTTGAAAAGATATGTGCACCCCTCTGTTAATTATTTACAATAGCCAATACCTAGAAGCAACCTAGGTATCCATCGATAGACGAATGGATAAAGAAGAGGTGGTACACACAATGGAATATTACTCAGCAACAAAAAAGAATGAAATCCTGCCATTTGTGACAACATGATGGACCTAGAGAGTATTATGCTAAGTGCACTAAGAGAGAGAAGGACAAAAACGCATGATTTCACTTACACGTGGGATTTTTTTTTAATCGAAATAAACAAGACAAAAGAAATACAGACTCATAGAAACAAAGAACAAGCTGATGGTTGCCAGAAGGAAGGGGAGTGGAGGGATGGGTGGAAAAGGTGAACGGGTATATAGCAATAATAGTGTGATAACTTTACACGGTGGCAGATGGTTCCTAGACTTAGGTGAGCACCTCATAAGATATATAAGATATATAAATGTCAACTTACTATGATGTACACCTGAAACTAATTTTTTTATTAGTTTCAGGTATACAGAGCAATGTAATACTTAGGCATTTACACCCCTTACAAAGTGATAACCCCCCCCAATCTACTACCCCCTGACATTATATATAACTGTTACAATACCATTGACTCTATCCCCTATGCTGTACTCCACATATATATGTATATTTAATTATAGTTGACATTCAATATTATTCTACTTCAGCTTTAAGTGTGTAGAACAGTGGTCAGGCATCTACACAATCTATGAAGTGATCCCCCTGATAAGTCCAGGATCCATCTGGCACCCTACATAATCTTTACAACATTATTGATTATATTCCCCATACTGTATTTCATATCCCCATAGTTATATTGTGACTACTTTGTACCTTCTAATCCCTTCACCTTCTCCCCCATCCTCACCCCTCTCTCATCTAGCAACTATCAGTTTGTTCTCTATATCTCTGAGTCTATTTCTGGTTTTTTTTGTTTTGTTTTGTTTTGTTTTGTTTTTTAAAGATTTTTATTGGGGAATTGGGGGATGGGAACAGCACCGGGGAATTGGGGGAAGGGGAACAGACAAGTTGCTGTCATTTTGTTCTTCAGTCTAGTTGTGGAGGACGTTGCTTCACTGGCCCAAGTTGGCACCATCATTGCACTCTTCCTGGGCAAGGCAGATCAGTCGCCAGCTTGTGGACGGCCGCTCACAGTGGCTGCTGGCCGCTCACGCTGACTGCTGGCAACACACGGCAGCCCACAGCAACCCACTGCAGCAGGGGCTGCAGCTTACACTGTCGCTGGTGACTCATGGCAGCCCAGCTCCAGGTTGAGCTGTTCAGCACCTTAGCTGTGGAGGGCAGTGTCACTGGCCCTCATACGTGGGATCCGAACTGGGGCCCTCTGGCGTACTAAGCCAGCTCTTAACCAACGCGCCACTCGGCTGGCCCTCTATTTCTGTTTTGTTTGCTCATTTCTTCTGTTCTCTAGATTCCACATATAAGTGAGATCACATGGTATTTGTCTTTCTCCATCTGACTTATTTCACTCATCATTACATCTTCTAGGTCCATCCATGATGTTGCAAATGGTAAGATTTCATTCTTTTCTATGACTGAGTAATACTCCATTGTATAAATGTACCACAGTTTCTTTATCCAATTGTCTATTGATGGGCATTTCCGTTGCTTCCATATCTTGGCTATTGTGAATAGTGCTGCAATAAACATAGGGGCACATATATTTTTTTGAATTGTGTTTTGGATTTCTTTGGATAAATACCCAGGAATGAAATTGCTGGGTCATAAGGTACCTCCAGTTTCAATTTTCTGAGGTACCTCCATGCTGTTTTCTATAGCGGCTGCATCAATCTGCAGTCCCACCAAGAGTGCACAAGGGTTCCCTTTTCTCCACATCCTCACCAGCACTTGTTGTTTGTTGATTTATTGATGACTGCCATTCTGATAGAAGTGATGTGCTATCTCATTGTGGTTTTTACCTGAAACTAACATTGTATACCAACTATAATATTTTTTTAAATTAAATAAGGGCTTGCAAGCAAACAAGTGTAGGGGCTTGGCTGGAAGACACTGACTTTGGGAAGGATCAGAATCGTGGAGCTCGGGGTGGTGGAGGGTGTCTGGTGTCACAGAGCTTAGAAAATGCAGAGACAGCATTCCTGTTTTGTGGTGAAAGAGCAGGCTGCCAGGCTAGATGGAATTATCTGGGCTGTTGGGGATGCATGAAAAATACAGTGATCAGGACCCGGGGACGCAAGAGTTAACGTGGAGACCCAAAGCCCAGGGAAACCTTCATTTCCTCCTGACATTAATTGGGGTGGAAGAGGGTTCCAAATCCAGCTCTAAACACCTGCATAATAGAAAGCTGCTGAGCTGAGCCCCGTGCTAGGGAAGTGCATTCTTCAGTGTGACTCCAAAGGTACATCCTTGCATCTCTGGGCCTGTGCCCTCTTTCCAGGTGGGATATTCACAGACTCTAGAAAACTCGCAGCCTGGAATCTGCCTTAATGATCTCCACCACCAACAAAAGCTTACAGGTCTCAAAGACTGCAAAGGACCAAAGCACCCGAATATGTTTGTTTCCCTCAGGCAAGCATTACCCCAAAAGATGCAGTGTGTATTTCTACAACTAGTTAAAGTTTAGGTGGCAATGTGCAGAAAAGCCTAAGGATGCAAAGCCTTTTTTATTATTATTTGAAATATCAACATGTTGCCTTATGCACTACCCAAAAATTAGTAGACAAAAATGTTTCTCACAATTTCATCAGTGTATAACTTTGAGCTTTTTAAAGGTATTTTTCCACACAGGTGTGAGAAATGCTAATCAAAGACACACATGCAGGGCCGGCCGAGTGGCTCAGTTGGTTAAGAGCTCGCTCTGAGCAACAGGGTCGCCGGTTTGATTCTTGGCCCGAGCTGAGCTGCCAACTCATGGCAAGATGGCTCAACTAAAAAAAAATAAAAACAAAAAAAGACACACATGCAAGCTTATAGGCAACAGCCTCTTACCATTAAAACGCGGGTGACACTCTGTTTCCAGAGCTGTCTCTTACCGATCCTGAACATCGCAGCAATCTGCTCAGCTTCTGGACTCTTCCAGAATGATCTAAATCCTGGGAGACTTACTCAGCATCCAACAGACTTGCAAATGAAAAGTCCTCTGGAGGACCTGAAGTTCGCTTTTACATTGCTAATTTGCATATATTGTTCACCAGATACCTCGAATAAAAACTAAAAGTTCACCTAGACTATTCAAAGTGTTCCTTCTGGCGTCTCTCCCCTGGGGCCTCTCCCGGTCCAAAGCCTTGTGTTGTTAGGGTAATACTGTTTACATGCTGTACAGTTTAAACATGACTCTTAATCGTGTTTCTCCACCTATCAAAGCATTTGAACCACTCAGTTGCGACACGACTTGTTCTGACATCCATTTAATTCCACACACTGCCCGACAATGAGCTTGGCGTCAATAGAGACAGTTGACGAATTTCTTTGAACAGTGAGAAACTTCAGACCGAATCAAATGAGAAAGCAGAGAAGCCACAGCTCTGAATAAATTGCTTAAGAAATTCCGTCTTACTTTGTCTAAACAACTTTGTGTGCACAATTAGCTGCCAGCATTGTGACTAATTGTGACTAATTGTCAGATAGGCTAATTGTGACCCAAAGGAGCCATTTTCTCCCCATAAAGAACAAGAAGCCTATTTCATATGCAAATAGCAAATGATGTCCATAAATTACTTGTGCTCACACAGTTGCACATACAAATAAACCAAGGTAATTTATTCTATGTGACTAAATATCTTGATTATCCTCAATTTGAAGACGTGATGGGAAATCATAGCCAATGTGATCTGAGAGAGCTAGTTATGTATGATTTCTCTCATCAAGATGAATTAAAGGCAGGACATTTAAGGTTTGGTTGTTCAATCCAGGATTTAGCCCTGAAAATTCAAGGTTCAGGAGCTCAAATCCAATGAAGCCATCCAAGGATAATCAGGAAGTAGGGAGCTCACACTGCCAAAATCCTGCTCGTCCACCTCACAAGAGGTGCTCATCCACCTGTCAGTATGAAAGCTGGGCTGCTAATTTCATACTGACACCAGCTGCTAATTTGGTATCTGAACTTGGGAGATTCGTCTGATCAACAGCCAACACTAGGACACAGCCTCCGTATGCAGGGGTAATGAAGATACAATGTTTAGACCTGACTACAGTAAGTCCTCACTTAGCATCACCGGTAGGTTCTGCGACTTTCAGCAAAACGACATATACCAAAATTTTACCGTAGGCTCATTGATGTAAACAAGAGTCAAGTTCCTACGGCATCTCATCAGCATTACAACACAACATTATTCAAGGGTCTGCTGTATTATTTGGTAAGTAAAGAACTAGAACACAGGAAGTTAGAGTTTGTTTACGAGATATTTTGTAAATCAGCCTCTGGGTAAGTGGCTGTTTTCCATCCTGGTTATACATGAAGACAGCTGTCTACACTAGAAGTCATTCTCCTCTGTGTGGTGCTGAAAGGTCGCCAGCGAATTGCAGAATTTGCTCATCATCCTCGCTCATCACCCCAGTATCAGTCTCAAGAATCTCCTGTCAACATATGACCTCAGGACAGAGGTTCCAATTCGTTATTATCACCGCTTATCTTTCATTAGTTACATTGAAATCGGGGGGCTTCCCTGATTTCATCAGCAGCCCATTGACAGCCTTTATCACTGGGGGAGAGCTACTTTCTGGGAAGATTTCCACAGATGGCTGATGGCATTCATTTTGTGTTTGGCAGGCATAACCATGGCTCTCTCGAGGCTTCCCAGTAAACTGCAAAATCTTCCAACCTCTGTGGCTGAATGTCAACCCTCTTTGGGCTAAGTATAGGCAGCAGGTGTCTTAAAGGATTCCCTTGAGGGTCCCAGACCTGAAGGAGGCTCCCTGAGAATCTTGGTTAAACAGCACCAGCAAGGCTCAAGCCTGAATCAACCTCTGACCACGTGCTCCCTACATGCCTGCCTGAAATAAAAGTGATTTCTGGTCACTGGAAAAGAGTTATCAAACATTGTTCAGTGGGAGACTCAGGAGGGGTTTCCTACCAGTAGTTTCCACCAGGCACCAGCTTCAGCTGATGAAACTCCTCCAGGAACCCTTAAGCAAGGAGCTCTCCAGCCCTACCTGTTGGACAGTGTGCCCTTTCAGGCTGGGAATGGTGGCCACACACAAATCTTAAGTCAGCTATAAACAAGAGTGGACAATGGGCGTCCTGTAGGCAGGAGGCTTCATCCAGAAATCTACGTACCTTCCGGCAAAGTTTACAGTTCCACTTTCATTCCTTCATTCATTCATTCATTCAACAAATGTTTGTTAGTGCCTTTTATGGGGCCATGTCCTGTATTACATACTAAACACAGAGCAGCTAATTAAAACACACACTTAATTCAACATTAAAAAATTGTAAGATGCAGAGAACTGACTCTGGGTGAACACACGAGACAATAGATGATGTATTATAGAAATGTAGACTTAAAACCTATATAATTTTACTAAGCAATGTCACCCCAATAAATTTAATAAAGATAAAAAAAGATGCATAATTATTTTTGTAGCACTCAAAGAGAAAAAACATAAAATGCTGCCAATTAAACTTAAATATAATATCAGTTCTAAGATGCGTCCTGAATTCACAGATGTTAAAGTGTGAAAAAATGTACATCTCAGGATCAAAGAAAGACCGGCGTTCCTGCCTTCACTGGGGGAAGATACTAAATAAATAAAATATAAATAAATATATAATTATAAATAAAATATAATTGCAAATTGTGGAAAGTGCCACAAAAAAGAAAATGAGGTACAGGCTTCACTTGGATCTGTGTTCTGAATTATTACTATTTTATGCATATATTCCAAAGTGTAAAATTTCCTGAACTCACCCCTAAATTATGGAGAGTCACCTAGTTTGGGCCTTTTAGCCCTCTATGTACAAACAATGCCATGCGGCATCATAGAAAAGTGCAAGCGTTGGGATCAGACAGACTGGATTTAAACCCCACCTCCGTCCTCTTCTAGGCGTGTGACGTCAGAGCTCTTGTTTCCTAAGTTAGAAATAAACCCACTAATAGATTTGTGATGATTTAAATATGTGTTGAATTTCAAGAACCTCACAGGCACCTAATAAATGAAAACTACAACTACGTTTGTTTAGTCGCAAAAATGTTCTGACTACAGTTAGCAATAACTTAAATGTAGGGGGCAAATTCCAAAGTAACTTAGCCTAACCCACAAATTCCAGTCTAGAGCTGTTTGGAAAGTTCGCTCTAGATTTCTGAGTATGTCCCAAGGGAAAGGGTGGATCCAAGTCTTACCAGTTACATGTGTACAGCCTTCATAGATTTCCATCTGTAAGAGCATCTTACTGACGTTCCAAAGACAGTCATCAGTTTAATGGCCATGTAAACAGTGATACGGGATGGGTGAGGGGCAGCATATAAGATGATGAGGGAGTCCAGCGCAGTGAGAAAGTATCCTATTTCATCCATTCTGAGTTGCACATTATTTTCACGTTTTACCATATTTAAATTGGGTGAATCTGCTATTCCATGTCCCCTTACGGCTGCTGTTGGTCAGCAGCAATCATGACACACTTGTCATTGCCAGAGTTGGTGTAGACTCAGCTGTCACCCCAGGTGGCATGACAGGGCCACTGCAGCACTTTGATATGTCAACAAACCATGAAAGTCCATTTGAGAAAGGAATGTGTGTCCTAGCTATCTTCTGAAAATCTTCCACTGACACCTTCTGGGAAGATCAGGAAAACACCAGCATTGCAACTTACAGAATGGGTAACCATGGATAGAAAGAAAATTCCAGAAGGATCAGACCCTAAACATGAAGAAGTTTTAGAAATTTCTTACCCTACTCGTATGGAGGCACAGGGTGACATATAATTTTTTTAAATCTATGTTTAAGTGGGTCTAAAAGAGCTTTTACAATTAAAATTCAAAAAAAGCAATGCATCCTAGTGTAATTGACAGCTGGTTTTCTGTCCTGGTGGTGGAAACAGTGGTGTGTCTGTTATCTGATGATGGCTTAGATCAGATGAAATACAGTTTTAAGATATCTAATGATCAAAGAGAATTTCTTAGAGAAGGTAGGGTTGAAGTTAGGCCTTGAAGAAGTGTAAGATTCAAACAGGAAAACGTAGGGCATAACATGGAGAAGATATCACGAGCAAAGCATGGAGGCTGGAATCCAAAAGAGAGTCTGTCTTGTGCTGCAGTTGTGAAGAAATATGATGATTAATCACTGAAAAGTATGTAGAGGCTGAACTCTGGGTGTCTGCCTAAAGTAGCTGGCCCTTGCAACGCATCAGGAAGTCACTGAGGAATTAATTGATGAAAGCCATATTTAAGAAAATTATGCTGGTACTTGTAAGTAGGAAGGGTTGGAGCAGAGAAAGACTGACGTCAGCATTCTGGGCATGAGGAAATAAAACATTTGATAGAGGGGAGGAAGCAGGGGTCACCCAAGCCATCAAAAACAAACAAACAAGCTAAATAAAGGCGTAAGTTCTTTTGTCCCAGCCACCGTTTTGCTACCCTTAAGCTACTCCTATACGGAAATCCTAGTTGAAGAAGGAACAGGAAGGAACAGATTGATAGAGCTTGACAACTGGTAATGGAAGAGAGTACAGTTGTCAAAGATGATTCCATTTTGTCAAGCTTGGCTATAGTGAATACTCATGATAACTCAAACAGGAATGTGGTACTCTAAAGAAAGTACATTTTGAAAACTAGATGACTAAAGAAATGAAGTAAAGCTCTCGTTCTTTATTTTCCCTATTGGTCTTTTCATCTTGAAAACATGAAGGTTAGTATATGCAAGGCCAAAAACATCCATTCCCTTTTTCATTATTCTATTATAATAAAAAAAATTCACACTAGGTAAACAATTCATAATAAAAAGAAAATAAAAGAGGGCCAGCCGAGTGGCGTGTTGGTTAAGAGCTGGCTTGGGATGCCAGACAGCCCCGGTTCGAATCCCACATGAGGGCCAGTGACACTGCCCTCTACAGCTAAGATGCTGAACAACAGCTCAACCTGGAGCTGGGCTGCCATGAG